TTGTGGTCCTTCTCGACCACCAGAGCAAGACGAAATTTGTCGTGGAGGTTTTAGATCCTGGCGTCTGAAAATATAAATAAAATTGGATAAAATATCGGGATTTTTCTCTTCGAAATCCGCAGACTATTTCCAGACCACCCTGTCAAGATGGTTGGAGTAGTTGGAATGATGTCCAACTAGCAATTTCGTATTTTCTAATAGTTGCGGAAACGTTTCGGAGAAACAAATTATAAAACTACATTATTTTTTTCACAGCCAAGAAATTATTTCACAATTATATCAAGTAATTCGGAAGGTCCTAGGTAGCAGTCATCACACCATTATCCTCAGCAATCTATGGTATTGATCAATGCTGTAGATTACCCAGGTAGCAGTCATCACACCACTCTCCTCAGCAGTGATGACTGCTACCCGGAACCATCCGAATTATTTTTTAAATTTTAGTGTATTATCTACATCATCTTTCTTTTTTTATCAATAAAACCGGTTAATATAATTTTTTTTCTTTTAAGTTTTTAATTTGGTTACCCAATTCTTGTCATTCTGTTCAGTTCATTTAGTGCCTCAGTATTACAAGGTTTATTTCCCGAAAATTTGTTGCAATCTAACTCCTCAACATATAAACCTTCCAAAGATTTTACTCGACTTATGCTTGTCCTTCTTCAAACAATTTCGAGCCTGCATACACAATTGCGTGGTCTACAGTGCTGCCTTGCATTTTGTGGACAAAGGAAGCCCATGACAAAATTAAGGGTAAAATCCTTAATAATAATAATAAGTCGCAGGGCCTGCCACGAAGCGCCCGAGACCCTAATCCATCGACATAACGCGGCCCTAAGAGAACTATATTACAATCTACGGCACTCTTACGACATTGACGAGACACCGGTGTTGCCCTACGCTCCGGGGGATATTGAATCCGTTGTGGGGAACGAGAAGTGTCGAATTTTTTGGAACTATTCGTTCCCCACCCTCAGGCTCATACAGGCTAATACGCCTGATGTAGTCCTTCTCGACGACCAGAGCAAGACGATATTTATCGTGGAGTTTTCAGCTCCTGGCGAGAAGAATATCGTCCGAAAAGAGGAGGAGAAACGGATAAAATATCGAGATTTTCTCTTCGAACTCCGCACACTCTATCCAGACCAATCTGTCGAAATGGTTGTTCTGATTATTGGAGTCCGTGGTGGAATTATGCCCTCTCTACTCTCGAATCTCAAAATCATACCGGCCTGCCGCACTAAGGCAGAAATCTTAGTCGGACAGATGCAGAAGGCTGTCATTCTTGACGCACTGCGCTGGCGTGCGAGGGTGCTGGCGCGCCCTTCCGAATGTATCGGGGCTTCGGGGAATAGGGCCTGACCAGCGCATACTTCGGTAAAAAGTAATACATTTATTATTCACCAATATATAAAATGATACAAAATAATTTTCAATACAAAAATATCTAATGAAGGTGAATAAAAGGAGAACCGTTAGACTCTGTAGCCAGAATTCTTTCACAGTCCCATTCTTTCAGCCGTCCCATAATTGAACTTTGCTGGAAACTATATGGCTTTAGGGTGGGTAAGATGTACGCCGTCTCATCCAAAATTGATCTGAACTGACGGTACATCTGTTTCGTACATTACAGTTCGACGAAACTGAAGCCAAACAATTTCTGCAATGTAGCCCATAGCGCCTTTCGATACGTCAATATTGGAACGCAACATATTGAGGTAGTTGTGAAATATATGTAATCCGCCATTCTGTAGCTGCGGCCATCTTGGATTTACAATGATACAGAATTTATTAAATTGTATTGTTAATCCGGTCAATCTAGACATTGGAAGGTATATAAATTTACAACAAGCTGCAAACGCGTGTAATTGTTCAAAAAATAGTTAGAAATAAGATTTTAAAATTCCAAATGATTGCGATGCCGGGAAAAAAATTTATTCGGAGTCAAAGGTCAAAAATCTCGAAAAAAATTGGTTTTTCACGATTTTCAGGAAAACGGTGGATTTTATCATAAAATAACTTTTATTAAAAATTGTATATCATAAAATTCTCTACAAAAAATGTATCAATACTTTTTTTTCTTAGAGCCACCGTTTCTGAGATACGACGAGTCAAAAAGTTGTAAAAGTTGTAATCGTCATTATATTATGCACACGTTTCCACGCCACCTATGAGGCAATTTNTTATCAAAAATTCTTATACAATATTATATAGAGATTTATCTATTTATGTATATAAGTTTGATACTGTTCTGATATTCATCATTAAGAGAATTTTCAACTAAGTTCCCTGTTGAGTTTGCTGTGTTTTTGTTATTGTTTAATATTGAATTGATGAATGCGTAGCCGTTTCTACGTAGTGTGAGATCATCATTAAAAATGAGAAATGAAACTTTCTATGTTTTTTTACCACTTGTATTTGTGACTAACGTTACTGCAGTTTCGTCCTATACGGACATTTTCAAACGAATACAATAAACTGAAATAATTGACAATGTTTACCCTTATATATCTATACAACACTGTGGTCCTTAACTGAGTGTCTAAATTTTGTTTACAATGTGGATATGTAACAATGTGGATATGGGTATGCTAATCTGAAAACTGGCAGGAGACAAGATCGATTTGGTCATTTAGTAGGTTACATGCTTGTGAATTTCCAAGGGTTCCATAGTGCAAAATTTCCATATCGTTTAGATTCGGAAACTCGTGGTTGTATTCCAGAGAATGGTTTGAAAACATCAATTATTTGGGATCCTTGAAGATTCATAAGCATACAATGGTTGCCTTTTATATTACAGGATTAGAGAACAAAAACAAATATTAATCATCGAAAATCACTTTATTGTTTTTCAAAATATTTCCCATGAAGATTTATACACTTTTGCATGCGTTTGAACCAATTGTCGAAGCACCTTTAATACTCTGATTGAGGTATCTCCAAAACATGCATTCTGAATGCAGCAACCGCTTCTTCAGGTGTCTGAAAACGTTGACCTCTCAGTTTGTTTTTTACGTACGGGAAGAAAAAGAAGTCATTCGGTGCCAAGTCAGGACTATACGGCGGATGACTCTTCAAATCGATGCTTTGGGTGATCAAAAATTCAGTTGTTTGATCCGACGTGTGAGAGCTCGCATTGTCGTGGTGAAGAGTGATCTGTCTTCGGAGGTTGGTTTTCTTGATTTCTTGGAAGACAACTGGCAAACAAATGGTTGTGTACCACTCAGAATTGACTGTTCTGCGTTGTTCTAGTGGTACGGTTGCGACATGTATAGTTTTTTCGAAAAAACAGGCGACCATTTGCTTGGAAGTGCTTCGTGCGCGAACATCTTTTGTTAGATTTGAAACACCCATACAGTCGACTGCTGTTTACTTTCGGGCTTATATATATAAGCGTAAATCCACGATTCATTACCTGTCACGATGTTATAGACGTGTTTCGCAGCACCGCGATCGAATTTTTTGAGCATTTCCTTCGACCAATCGACACGAGCCTTTTTTTGAGCAATTGACAAATTGTGTGGGATCCAACGCGAACAAATTTTTTTGATACTCAAATGTTTATGCAATATTGAATGTATGCTGGTCCCACTAATGCCTAAGGTTGTCTCAATCTCACGATACGTCACATGACGATCTTGCAATATCAATTCGCGCACAGCATCAATAGTTTTCGGAACAACAACTGATTTTGGACGACCATCACGAAATTCGTCTTGGAGTGACCACGACCATGATTGAATTCACCACACCATCGATAAACACTGGTCCTTGATGGAGCTCCATCGCCAAAAATTGAATTAAGTTCATCCATGCACTGTTGCTGAGTTAATCCACGTCGAAAGTTGTGAAAAATAATCGCACGAAAATGTTCACGATTAAATTCCATTTTTGGGCCGAGATGAATCCTTTAAGTTACTGTAAACAACACAAATAGCGCGCGTATGTCGAAATGTTCTGAGTACGTATAAGCTCAAAAATGTCCAACTTTACGATAGAGCTGTCAGTTGCCAGATTGCAACATTAGGGTTGCAAAATCACGAAACATAAACGGCAACCTATCGTAAGCATTGCAGATGTAACCTGTTAAATGACCAAATCGACCTAGTCTATTCGCCTGTTTTCAGATTAGCGTACCTACATTGTCACAGGTAAACAAAATTCAGTTAAGGACCGTCTGTTATTAACTACAGTAGTATATAGATATATAAGGGTTAATATTGTTAATTATTTCAGTTTATTGTACTCGTTTGAGAATGTTCTTATAGGACGAAAGCTCAGATAAGACCTTCTTTGGAGCTCTGCCCCCAAACATACCCTGAAGTTTCTGGATCAGCCACCCGCCTGACTGGAGACGCGAACATCACGTGCAACCTTGATAGCCTGTAACATCGAAGAAAGGTTGGAGACTTGTCTGTCTTCTAAAGATACTTTCACGGGAAGTGTTCAAGTGACTTGGCACATTTGATTCCAAAAAGAGCGATACATATCAGAAATACGCGACCGACTGTGGCTGCTCATCGTTTTGAGGTTCAATTCAGTACACCTCGAACTTCACTGTTCAAGAACTCTTTCACATGGATTAAACTTCCTGAAAACTTTTTTCCAAATGGATTTAATTTCCAGCGATTCAAATCCACGCACGAGTACAGCTCTTAGAGCGCCTTAAGAATTTTTCTGTAGTGTTTGTGTTTTGTCCTTAAGAAAAAAAAAACAAATACAAGTGGTGAAAAAAACATAGTAAATTTGATTTCTCATTTTTCTTGTTTGAATCGTTTGGTTACTATCTTTTCCATCAAATGTGTTTTATAATCTTTTGAGCAAAACTCAACCTAAATTTTTCATAAAATTAATACATAAATTGATTCACTGTGAATCAATGTTTTGCTCTCCAGAATAGTGTACGATCAAAATATATCTAATTCAATTATAAAAGTAATATGAAAACATGTTGTTTGATAACAATGTTTAATTAATTTTTTAGTGAACTCATCAAAAACATGACCCTGAAGTACCTGAGCAGAACTTTGCCAATTCTCAAAGCAGATGCGACTTTACCAAAAGTAGCTAACTTCAAGAGCGATCCCATTTCAGATAACAGGTGAGCATGAAACTATTTTTCAATTAGAATGACGTACATCCATGAAACCTTCCAAATGTTGATTGAATGAATAATCATATCGATTATAAATTTGAAAGAATCACTAATTCAATATTTAGTTTCTTGCAATATTTGCCATATATAGTCAGTCACTTTGATTTTCATACAATACCTTTTAAGAAATATTGACAAGGTTTCAGTAAACTGGAATCTTTTTATGGCTCTGGAACTTGCTAAAAGGAACATATCATTTACTCTATACCAACGTATCATTAAATATTTGGTATGCTTCAATATCATGAGTTATCATCACAATGGTATATTGAGCAAGTGAAAATCAAGTACTAACTCAACCTAAATTTTTCATAAAATTAATACATAAATTGATTCACTGTGAATCAATGTTTTGCTCTCCAGAATAGTGTACGATCAAAATATATCTAATTCAATTATAAAAGTAATATGATAACATGTTATTTGATAACAATGTTCAATTAATTTTTTAGTGAACTCATCAAAAACATGACCCTGAAGTACCTGAGCAGAACTTTGCCAATTCTCAAAGCAGATGCGACTTTACCAAAAGTAGCTAACTTCAAGAGCGATCCCATTTCAGATAACAGGTGAGCATGAAACTATTTTTCAATTAGAATGACGTACATCCATGAAACCTTCCAAATGTTGATTGAATGAGTAATCATATCGATTATAAACTTGAGAGAATCACTAATTCAATATTTAGTTTCTTGCAATATTTGCCATATATAGTCAGTCACTTTGATTTTCATGCAATACCTTTTAAGAAATATTGACAAGGTTTCAGTAAACTGGAATCTTTTTATGGCTCTGGAACTTGCGAAAAGGAACATATCATTTACTCTATACCAACGTATCATTAAATATTTGGTATGCTTCAATATCATGAGTTATCATCACAATGGTATATTGAGCAAGTGAAAATCAAGTACTCATATACCACCAGTCTCTGAAATAATTCAATCGAGAAACACATTTAGCTAATGGCTGTTGTTCACGGTAGCCAAGTTTCGTATAACTAACTCTCAAGTATCGTTTTCTCAGAGATATATAATGTATTTCGACTGTATCGAGGAGTATAACCCCACTTCATATTGAAGTCAAGGTGAGATACCATGAATGGAAAATGAACGGCGAAAGGACGATTGGTGAAGTGAAAGGAGTAGACAAGATACTCCCCTGGATACAAGGGTTATTGCTGGAGGAAGAGATGCTGGACGAGGAAATGACTGAAGTGTACGTGGACGCCGGCGTGAGTGAGAATAAAGGAAGAACGGGCATAGGCTGGACATATGAAAGGAACGAGGTTGCATGGGTTCCAGGTAATGAAAGGATTCCCGGATAGAGCAGTGTGAAAGAAGCGGAACTGATCGCTATAGAACGAGCGATTGGAATGTGGAGAATGAATGAGAATGTCAGAGTAGTCAGTGACTCCCCTATAGCGGAACTGATGAAGACAGTACGAGTGAAGAATAAATAGATAGTTATGATTCAGCTTATGATTGAGGAAAGGAGTATAAGGGGAGTACGGACCGAAGTTGTCTGGCGAAAGGGGCACCATGATGGTAATCCTAGTAGTAGAAAAGCGCACCAGGAGGCCAACAAAGGTATGAATACGAATACGAATGAGTGGTGAAAGAGAAGAATGGAAGAGGATAAAGGAAAATGTCACGGAAGAATGGCAGAGAGAATGGGAAAACGGTATGACTGGACGACTGCACTACATATTCTGTAGAGCACGGTATGAATTATTAAACCTCTCGAGGGAGGCAGTTCAACTGTTCACGGGGCACGGTAATTTTCCGAGATACCTGGCTAGGTTCAACCTGGGTCCGGAGGCACCCTGCTCATGTAGATGTGGGGGGGGAACCTGAAACGGCAGAGCATGTGATTGAGAAATATATGGCCGGAGACAAAGTTGGGTAGCGAGAATGGAAAGAGCGGCTGGAATGAGAAAAGGGAGCAATGCAACTGAGAGACAAGAATGGAAAGAGTTATGAATGGATACTAGTCGCAAATGAATGGGCAGAGAGCGTGGTGAGGGATGAATGGGACAGATGAGAGGCAAGGAAACTGGACAAAACATGTACAATATACACTGTAGGGCATTGTGGACCTTGAATGTCTAGGCTTTCTGGGAGACAATGTAATTAGCTAGCTGAATTCAATAATAAATGGATACTGATAAAGTAATAATTTATGTATACACACAGTGGTCTATTGGGCTAAGCGTGGAATGTCCTGAATTTCATTTTTGTTCGTTTTCTATCCCTTTTAGGAAATTATAGTATATCATATAATTGTATTAATTAGAAATAGTTTATTTAATTTTGTACATACAACAGTGGTTGACAGTGGTGGCGCTAGATAGAGGGAAGACTCCCAATTGAAAGGCTTATGAGCTAGGGCAACAAAGGACTATTGCATTATTCATGTATCGGGGAGAGATACATACGAATGAGAAAATATTTTTGAAATGAAATCTCGATACATTCATCTCCCCCAACGCACCTACACAGTAGATTGTGGTAAATGCTTGCCGAAAAAGAACCACTTCTCCGGCTAATACAACGACGGACATTGAATGATATCTAACAGACATGTATGCAACACATCTCACAGAGAATAGTTTTGTGGATGTTTTTCGTTCGTCTTGCAGTAGTGCCACGTTGAAATAATTCAACCAGACCACCTATAGACCAGTGCAGGGAAGAAAGAAGAGGAAGAAACATTTTGTAACTTATTACAGCCCTATTTAGTGTATAAAGCCTCAAAAGCGGGAAAGAAATCCCATATACACCAACACTTCGTGTTAGGAATCACAGGTTAAAAGGTTAGACTTCGTTAATCCTTAGCTCGCATAAGTTTCGGCTTCTGAGGGTTGTCGTTCGTAGAGGTGCGATAGCTGGTTAACGGAAAAACATATTTTTTTTAAACTCTCTCGGCATTATCCGAGGAAGTTGTCTCTCGGCAGGCATTTATCAGAACCTACCCTGTAGGTGCGTTGGGGAGGAAAAGAATGTTTGGAGATTTCATTACAAAATATTCTTTCTCACATATCAACAATGTACTGGAATAGACAAAAAAAAATTCTTCACTGATAAATCACTTGTGGACTCGTCCAATTTAGATGACTATACTTCATTGCAATCTTTGCCAACATTAAGAGAACAGTTTTGTTTGAGGAAGTGAATGTAAAAGAAATTGGAAACGGCAACATTTCAAGGAAACAATGTGTCTTTGTCAAATAAAGTGTACGGATTAGAAATGGCAGCCTCTATAGCTGTACATACCTTTGAATTTTACAATGATTTTCAAAGCTCAAGGTACTCCATCTGAGAAGCATTCCTTACATACATAGAGTTCTACCTTTGAGGCATAGCTTCAGGGTCCTAATTGAAACCAGAGCCCAAAAACAAAGCATTCGTGATCCAACATCAGGTAGCATCATTTGACTCACCAAAATCTCAAGAGCGATGTTAGACTTAATTACGAATATGATTCCGCCCTCAACAACAGTGACGACATTTCTCCTTTTGAAGACGATGGGATCGACAGGAGACACTATCCGCGAAGCTCAGATTTGCAACGGACCGCCTTGGGAAGCCCTTTTCAATAAACTGCTTGCCAATCCCAACGGGTGTAGATCCTTCTGGTCGATAGCTAAAGCTGTTAATCAGAACTTAACAAAATCCACAATTCCACCACTAATACAAGCGGATGGTTCAATTGAAACAACAGCCATATAAAAAGCAAATCTACTAGCTGAACAATTTGCGTTCCACTCCACAGTGGGAAGGGGTCTTTCCAAGGAAGGGGTTTTTCATTGACAATCATAACTTTCATCGCTTCCGATACTATTACCTGGCCTGAAAAAGTCTTGGGCCTAACACATAGATGGCGCTAGTCTTATTGCAATCAGAGCTTTCTCAAATTTCATGATATTATACTCATAAGTTTGTGAGTTATTGTGCTAAGATGACACTACTTTTGTTAGTTTCAAAATCAATTTCATGGTTTAATTTAACCATTCTTTTTGATGGAAAAAATACTTTTCAAGCAAAGCAATTTCAAGCAAATTGAAGAAATATTGGGCAGAAAAACTTTCCTGGTAGAAACCGATTGTGGATTGACATGGAAAAGACATATGAATCAATTAAAAAAGATTATTCAGACGAAGAATATTCAAATACAATATCTAAAACAAATAATGTTTCTTTCACTCCACGATCTGCTTTAAAAGAAAATATTGTAGATTGGAAGGAAAAAACGGGGACTCACAGTAGTGAACAGTTAGTGAATACGGAAAATGGTAATATGGAAGGTGATGAAACTAATAGTGGTAGATCTCTGAGACCCCGTAATAAAATTAGGGCACCTGAGCGATTAATTATGGCAAATTAATCCTAATGTTTGTTGTTAGTTATTGCAAATTATCACTGGATAGTGTAATGTTTCACCTTAGGTGAAGTGGTGTCATATATTAATAATAAAACATAGTTGTTAGTTTCCAGTCCTGTATATTAAGATCTTTTTGTACACGAATGTTTTTTCATGTAGACTTGCCCTAAAGACGCAGTCGAGTACTTACCGTTGTTGGAGATACAATAAAGTGGTACCATATAGAAAATATCATTTTTATTTGCACGATAACATAATAATTGCAAAGCAATGGCTTGAAAAGTGTTTAAAGGAATCCGCTCCATCTGAAACAACAATTGAACGTTGGTTTGCTGACTTCAAACGTGGTTGTAGAGTCACCGATGACACAGAACGCAGTGGACGTCCAAATAAGGCAGTAATATCAGTAACAAAAAAATCCACAAAATCGTTTTGAATGATCGTAAAGTGAAGTTACGTGAGTTAGCTGGCATTGTAGAGGTATCAAAAGAACGTGTTGGCTTTATATTGCATGACCATTTAATTATGAGAAAGCTCTGTTGAAAATGGGTGCTGCGCGAGCTCACTGTTGACCAAAAACAATAACGTTTCAATGATTCTGAGCAGTGTTTAGCCATGTTTGAATATAACAAACTAAAATTTCTGCTTCGATATGACAATGGATGAAACATAGATCCATCACTTCACTCCGGAATCAAAACGATCGTCATCTGAGGAAAGAGCAACTGGTGAACCTCGTCCAAAGCGCCCGAAAGCACAACAATCGACCGAAAACGTTATGGCTTCAGTATTTCGGAATTGGCGTGGTGTAATATTCATCGACTATTTTGAGATGGAAAATGCTATCAACAGTGAATATTATATAGCGTTATTGGAGCGTCTGATGGCTGAAATTGCAAAGAAACATCCGCGTATGGCGAAAAAAAAATTGCGTTACAACGCACTGTATCACAAGTCAATCAAAACAATGGCAAAACTTCATGAATTGAACTTCGAATTGCTCTTACATCCAGCGTATTCGCCAAATTTGGCTCCCAGCGAGTAGTGCCTATCTGTATCTGTAGAGAAGGGAGGGTAAGTGTAGGCCCACAGCACTTAGGCCACATGTGACTCATTGTATATCCTCCAGAGGAGTTGTCCTCCTAGATCATCGTCCATCCTGTCCTTTCCAGTACATTAGGAGACATCTCCTTTATATCGGCAGGTGGAAAAGTCAAAGGACTCGTTGATAATGAAGTGATCAAGTGATCTGAACATTCATAGTTTAAGAAACAAAATAAGTGAACTTGATTCTTTATTACAGTCTCTTGAATATCCGGATGCAGTTTGCTTAACAGATACTTGGTGACAAGGAAATGAAATTTTAGCTGTCAATGTCAATTGTTGTACTCTTTCCGATTATTTTTGCCGTAACGATAAAGTTGGTGGAGGGGTAGCTATCTTTGTTAAAAATATTCACGATTATACACTCTTACACACTACCGTCGAAAAATCTCAGGGTACGTTTGAATATGCTGCTGTCGAAATAACCGCTGACAACTTCAAAATCCGCGTAAACTGTTTTTACAGACCACCATCTCCCAATAGTCTATCATTCATACATAATATGGAACTATTTCTCGATTCTCTTTTTGAAAAAAATGTTCAAACCTCTTGTATCGTTTGTGGTGATTTTAATTTCAACTTCCATAAGAATTCCACTGATGGCAATGGCGTAATTTATTTGCCTCTTACGGATTGAATCAATGTATTTTCGATTACACAAGAATTCAGGGCAATAGTGTGTCTACGGTAGACGTCAGTCACATAGGTTTCTCGGATCATGCACTCCAATATATAGTTTTACCAATCACCGCTCCTACTGTAAAGGTAACCAATTATTTTCTCAAAAAATCCTTCTGTGATCAAAACATTCACTTTTTGAATGCTTTATTGGCTCTTGAGGATTGGCTATCTATATATTGCAGCAACGGTAATACTGATGAAAAATTCTCTATTTTTTATGACTCATTTCTCAACCCATTCGATAAAGCCTTTTCTAAGGAATTACATCAAACAAATACACATAAAAATCTAATAACAATAAACCTTGAATAACTAAGGAGATCGTTAATGAAGGAAAATTACTCAGATATATTTTCCAAATCAGTAAAATCCGATAAGATGAAATCATTAACCAACAATATAAATTACTTTTGAAACAGCATCGACAAAAGATATAAATTTTAAAGAAGTCTTACTTCGGCCCCAAATTTCTTGGAGCCACAAATAAATCTAAGGTTGCCTGGACTATAATCAAACAGAATACCGCATGTGATAAAAAAAGCCAATTCTTGCCAAAATATGTTATTGATTGAAAATGAATTATCTGTAAACGAGGGTGTTGATGTCTCCCAAACTTCCAGTGGTGTGGATGAAGTACCTTGCAACCTCTTGTTCGAAGTTGTTGAAAATTTGATCGAACCCCTCTTATACCTCATTAATATCTCCTTAGTCGAAGGTATATTTCCTTCTCGACTCAAACATGCAATAATAGTGCCTATCCATAAGAAAACTGACAACCACTCGGTTTTCAATTACAGAGGAGTTGCGTTACTATCTGCATTTTCCAAAATATTCGAGAAAACTTATCAAAGAATACTCTTCTCTTTTTGCAAGAAGTATAAAATCATCCCAGACTCTCAATATGGCTTCCAAATTGGCAAGACAACTCAGGATGTCACGATGAATTTAGTCAATGAAGTCATCTCTAATTTGTAAAATTTTTAGGTTTGAACATTGATGCTCAACTCTCTTGGAACAAGCACGTTGATTATATTTTGAGAAAAATGTCGAAACAAACATTGTTTTGTAATTCGTAATCTCCGTAAATGTGTTCCATTGAATATATTGAAAAGCTATTACTATGCTTATATTCAATCTTCATTCAGATATTGTCTGATCAACTTTGGTAACTGTACAACTAATAGCTCAAAAGCTCGGTAAAATATTTCTTTTGTTTCTGGTGTCATACATGTGAATATCGCAATGCCTTCTAAAGCTGTTTAGGTTCTTGAAAATGTGAGTAAACAGTTTCAATATATAAATAGAGGGCACCGTGAGAATTTTATTACTTTTGAAAGTGTCTCGGCATGATGTTCTATAACATAAGCAGAAAATACGTCTGATAATACGTTTTTGCAACACAAACACTCTTTGTAGTTCGGACGCTTGACCCCAGACAACGATACTATATGAAATAGCGGAGTACCCCAGTGCATAGTGAACTCCAAGCAGACATTCTCGTTCCAGCATGTTTTGGAGTGTAGTGACCACATAGAAACATTTGTTCAGCAAGTTCCATGATAGTTTGCAGTCGAATTGTGTTCCTAAGAACTGCACCATTATGGATGGCTCAATTGACACTCCTTTATATGAGAGCGGTAAATTCAAAGGCCTTCTATGTTTGCTATTGAACTCTATATATTTCGTCTTATTATGTTTAATCATAAGTTCATTTTTAAAGCAGAAATTTGAAGGTTACTTCGTGATCCAGAAAGCATTATATTCAACTTTTTTGCGTTAATAATGGGGCAGCTTTCACTGAGGTTTCTTGATTGATCATTTCACAAGAAGTTTTCCTCTCCTGAATTGGAAAGCTGAATGAAATTGACAATCTCATCTCTGATATTCGTAGTTTGGAAGAAGCCATCGCCTTTTCCCACTAAAGCTGCTGGTTTCCTCAGCTGATTATATATATATTTCAATGGAAAATGTTCCATTGTCATTTATTTTCTTGAGAGCACACTTTTAGTGAGACCATTTTTCTAAACGGTCCACAACGAGTTGTTGTCTATGCTTCAGTATATTTCCATGTGGTATATGGTCTGACTAATTTCTGATCATGTTTCAATCATTCGGGAAGCTAACAAGTCCACTTTTCCATGGTTATGGACATACAGACATGAAAATCGATATGATTGCTCAAAATTTCATGAAGTTATTGTTGTCAGAATGGATAAATCCAGGAATAGGAGTGTTATTCTCCCTGAGTTGGAACTATTTTTTTGGTACAAGAATATTTGTTTCGTTTTTATGATTATTCAATACGGTTCTACATTTTTTCTTGCGAAAAGTTTCATCTTATCAAAAGGGCATCTTCCAGCCTGACATTTGGAAGCACAATAAATTCAACTGCTCCTTTTATTCGTGAGAATAATCGAATTGAATTAGGATATTGATATTTCATTTATCTGAATAATTGAATTGAATTAAGATTTTGATATTTCATTTATCTAAATTATTTTCAGAATATCCTCTTTCGATAATAACAACGTTGACAGAAATGGAAGGAGTGATACATCTGCCCACATTGAAAAATCTTCTACGGAACAGCCAGAAAATGAGAAAGTGAAGAAATCAGAAAGGCAAGCTAGAAAGTTTTGTGATGGTGGTGGTGTGTTCTGCGACTTGTATAAAGCAATGAATGGACAACTCAGTTCACTATCAAGTGTCCCGTCTTCACAGATTCCGCTGGAGAGAAGAGATGACGTGTCAGCTCCCCCAAGATATGAAGGACCACCCACGCCGTGCCCAGCCAAAGTCGAGTACGCCACACCTGTATTTGCTAAAAACTATCAAGGAATATGGAGATATGTTGTGCAGATACCTTATGAAGGGTATTTCACACAAACTGTAGAAGTCACCAGGTAAATATTTGATTTTTGAGAAATTTTCAGTACATTGTCCTCTTTATCAAATAATTACTTACGCTAATAATAATGAAAGAAAGATTTTCAATAGTTCGGACTTCCATTGTCTAATACTACATTCTCTTTTCAAAAATGGTATCGCTTTCAAGTTCATTGCAACAATGAGGCTAAAATAAATTAAAATCATGTGGTTACTGAAATTGCATAAAATACCCTCAAAACTTATTGCAATATACTCAAAACTTATTTCATTTTGTGGTGTTAATAGTAAAAAAGTGGGCACAAACCATAACAATGTTCTTTTCAGATGGTACCCTTTAAAAAACTGTAAATAATTTCCGTGACAACGTTAGTTTAAAACGTCTTGTCGACTTGTTTTGTATGTTACAACATTAGTTGTCAGTATTTTGATTCAAATTTAAAGTTTGTTTACTTCAAGTCTGACAAATGGTTAGATTAACGGAAATGCATAAAATAACAGTTTTACAAATGATTGGTTACCGAGATACAATCCGAACATAACAGAAAGTAGCTCGTCTACTTCATTAGAAATTTCCTAATCTACCGCCTATATCTCAAGGAACAATAAGTAAAATAGAGAAGCAATTTCGCGAGATTGATCATGAGGTGTAGATGAAAAAAGTAGCTGCTAATGCAATGAGTGATGAACTCAAATTATATGTGATGCTTAAGTTTGAGAAAAACCCACATACATCGAGTAGACAGGCATCCACTACATTCAATGTTAGCCATACATCGATAGTAAACATATTGAAAAAAAATAAAATGCATCCCTATAAAATGATAACTACTCGAAGAGCTCATGGAAGACGATTTCGATAGAAGAACTTATTTTTGTGAGCAAATGATGGACATGTTGGATAACAATATCATCCAATTTATCATCAATATATCATCCAATTTCTGATGAGTGTACTTTGTCTCTAAACGGTTATGCTAATCGGCAAAATTGCCGCTACTGGTCGGCGGAAAATCCTCACTGGATCAGAGAAGAACACACGCAATACCCTCAAGAAGTTAATGTTCGGGCAGGGATTGTAGGAAACCACATCATTCGTTCCTTTTTCATTGAGGGCAACCTGAATGGCAATAATTATTTGGCACTACTTCAAAATTATCTCATTCCAAGTTTAGCAAATTTATATCCTGATCCAGGAAACCCTCAAGTTCCAGTGAAAACGATATGGTTTCAGTAGGATGGACCACCACCACATTACCAAGTCAATGTCTGGCAATACCTCGATACAACATTTTCCAATCGGTGGATAGGCAGGCGAGGATCGATTGAATGGCCAGCGCGATCACCTGATCTTTTATCATTAGATTTTTTCATGGGGATATGTAAAGAGCAATGGGTACAAAACTAAACCTTCAGATTTGAATGACTTAAAAGAACGAATAACGCTTGCGATTAGGTCGGTCACGCCTGATATTCCAAATAATGTTAGAAGGCAGTTTTGTTTGAGATTAGGATGTTGCCAAGACGTTCGCGGGAAAAATTTCAAACATCTCATTCGTTAACATCCATAGTTCTTTCTCGTATTCTACATTTCATTGCGTTTTGCATTACATTTTAGTTTTTGACTGTATTTTATGGAATTTCGGTAACCACATTACATCTTTGAATAGAAAATGAAAAGACCTTTCAAACGATATATCACAAATCTATGCTTCCCATTTAAAAAATTGGGGGTTATACCTGTCATTCGAAGGGGGTTGAAGGTAGGGGTGGCATTTTTATGTTGAAGAATGTCAAATTATAATTTACATTTGACGTGTTTAGGATTTTTTTTTAATATGTGCAGTAACCGAAATAATGAATTTATTCCATTTGGCTTTTACACACTGTATAGATAATATCAGAAAATGGAAGTCCGAACTAATGAAATTCATCATGAAACATTGTCAATCACCTTCAGATAAAATAAATAGTCATACTTTATTGTGAAAAGAATTTGAAGAAAATTAATTATGAAATTCTGAAAAATTATAAGGATATCCTAATTCCTTTATATGACTGTTTAGAGCTCATCTATAGTTTCCATTTGCTTAACAGATAAAGAAATCACGTGCACTTTTTGCACGTGCACAAAGTTAACGTCCAGATTAAAACTGAATATGAGAATAAATTTCTCCACGAAACTTGTTGGACTAGCAAATGTTTATTATTGTGAACAAAATGAAAATGAAGCACAGGTAAGACTGTGCAAAATTTTCCATTCAGTATAACTGTGTCGATCGAATTGCCATCGATACTTCAATAATAAAAGAGTTTAAGAAGTATTTCATGAACATTTCCGAGTAAATATTGCTATGAAGTTTCAATTTCAAAGTTGAAGGTGACACAAATCGGACGACACTTTGTACAAAAAATATATGATAATATTCTGGTAGTCCAATGAAAGTTGATACTCTCGCAGATAAAAAAGATATAGCAAAATATAGAATACATCTAAGAGGATATAGACATGCAAGTGTATGGATCGCCGTTTTACTTTTTATTGTCACATATATTCATTTCTCAATTTATTCACCTAACAATTTATTTGTTTAAATTCAATTGATTCATGCATTTGTTCGACACATTAAAAACGATTGTTCGGAAAATGTGTTCTATTTTAAATGACACTTGATTTTAAATGTTACATGAATAAAATGATAATTAGACTAGTGAAATAACTTGAAGCTTTTATTGATTCCAAAGAAAAATATTGTTTCAAAGTATTGGAAAATGGAATGCCAATTTGCTATATATTATGCTGAAAAATAATCTATATACATATAGTTCAACTCAGCAATAAACAAAAATTTTTATTCAAAAGTCAATGGAATGTATTATTCGAGTAAATTCAACAAACGTTTCAATTCCGCATATAATTTTGACCTTTGAATAAAATGTAAGTTATTTATATGACTGTTNATTAATCAATTAAATTCAAACAAATAAATTGTTAGTTGAATAAATTGAGGAATGAATATTTGTGACAATAAAAACTAAAACGGCGTTCCATACAAGTGGGTCGTTGTTTTTTAGTTAAATCATGCAATCTGAATATTCAACATTTTAAGAGCCGTAACGGTGAAACTGATGGATCAGTATCTGATGGATATACTTACCTTCTAGATTCTAGATGAAAACACATTTGTTTTTCACCAATGGACGAAATAACTCAAATGAAGATTTTTAAATATAGTTCATTATTGTTTTGTTTTTATTTGAGCTAATTTGTTGAACTATCTTCTGCTCTTTGTTCCCTTATATATCATTCTTGTACTAAAGTGTTTATTAATAATAAATTGGTTGAATTATGCCGATGCTACCCTGATGGCGATCTTTCAGATATACGAGTATGTGAGATGGTTGCAATGAATAAAAAATTATTAGATAAACTGATACGTTATGACTTGGTCTTTAACAATATGAGATAATTCTTCAACAATGGATTTGTTTGAGTGATATGACACATTAATACCAAGTCTAAATTATCTGTATATTTGAAAAAAATATACTTTTGTTAGTTTGGCTACAAATTGAAGATTAGTTAGAGTTTACTCGATGGATAAACTGTTACAAATATTCTGGATAGTTTACAAAAACCGTCACACGTTTTTTCCTATACAAAAACTTCCTCAGGCGTGTTCATACTCACACACTGATGAACTTTTGTATATCGAAACACGTGTTGCAGTTTTGCAAACTGTCAGGACATTTCCAGATATATCCGAAATCAATAAAAAATAAGAGAAATTCGATGAAAATCTCCAAAAACTGAAAATACCCAACTTAATATAACCAAAACCACTCACATGAACCACAGACAAATTATTGTCATTATAATAATTTTTCTGAGATAATAGTATTATCTGCATTTACCTTCACATTTTACTCAAAATCCAAAAGTAAACTTGAGACAGTTGAATTTTCAATTCGTGTTTAATTTGTTAAAATTGATTTACATTATCTTCAAATTCACAGATGTTTGCAATCTCGATGCCATTACTTGGAAGGAGGTTGTTTATCATCTCCAAGGTGGTCCAGTCTTCTGGTGGCAGAAATCTTTTATCCGGAAACAATACGGGGAAACGTAGATATAAGCACACCACATAGAAGCCACGTAACGGCATCCCAACCTCCGTCTGTACAAGATTTTCAGGTAAATATGAAAAATCGAATTTTATTCTTATACCGAATTGTGTGATTTGAAATCCTTGTAAATTTCGGAATATGTGAGTTACTGAATATATTCCTTTGAAAAATATGGTAGCTGCGTCCAAAATGTCTCCTACTGCACCCCGCTAGGGTTTATTGTGGCTTACATCTATTCAAACTCGGTCATATTAACAATTTTTCAATGAAATCAAGTGATCTTCCAGGTGAGATGAAAGGAGCGAAACTCTTGCCAAACTCCGAAATACGAGGTTACATAAACTGAAGGGCAATGAATGAATCTGTATCTGATCCAAAACCAACGAATGGGATTCTGAATTTTGGACATACGGGTATTCGTGAGATGTGTCTCACGGCTAGACTACAAACATGAAAATGAACGCATCATATTTGAATGGATCGCGTCATATTCAAATGATGTCTAATGTCATTTCATACTCATGCCCACTTCCAACTTGAATTCATTGTAAAACATTTAGGATTCTGCATGTGATATATTCGATAAAACAAAGGAATTGTGAGTGATAGTTTTGTGTTCCTCAAGATGCAGATATTGGTGTAAAAAAGAAATTCGGTTCCTCATTATAAGTGTTTTCGGACCTTAAATTTTTTCAAATGAATCTGTTTTTCCGTTATCCAGCTGTCCAGCTGTCGAAATTTTTGCGAGCTAATGACTAACGAAGTCTTACCTTTTAACGTGTGATTTCTAAAAGTGGTTGGACGATAGCAAGTGAAAATCGATCGTTCAGACTAGTGCTTGAACCACCGACCAACACGGTAGTTAATTCAAGTGAGTAAACAAAGCACTCACGTCGAACCGCCTGGCTAACGAGCGACCTGGTTCCATTGACCTGCTGAAAAGGACGAGTAAATTGAATTTGATGAACGAATCGTCTCTTGATATTGTTAGTTTCAATGTTTATTAACTTTCATTTAGTTTACGTCAGGTTTACTATGCATGACTTTCTTGATATTTGTTAAACTAAACATGGTTTAACCAATGTAGATCATTGTTTTCATAATCGAAATCTGACACTTGATGACTGGAAGCTTAGTCATTAAAATTTATAAGTATTTTCCGAAATTGTGAATGATATAATGTTGTGGAAATCATATGATTCTACTCATCTAGGTATATAGCATAATTATCTACTCTCCAATAACAGGAACTATTCGGTTTTTTGTTTTTTTTCTCAAAACAACATAAAAGTGACCATGATATCTTTCAACAATCACCCATTCAAAGTTCAAATATTCCAAATTCGAACCCATTATCTGCCAATTGTCACTTTCACCACAACAAAATCAAAATCATCGCTTAGTATTTTGATATTTGGTTTACCAATTTTCAGGAAACCGTGAACCGGTTTTTCAGTAGTACCACAATAGTAGTGATTTTAGAACCACATTTCTGGTTACTTTTGAGATATATATTGAATAATCACAATATCTAACTCAATTTTTTTAGAGAAGTAGAGAATCTGAAGATTTCTTGAAAGAAATAGAAGAATTAAAATGAGTGATATATATTGCAAGTTAGAAAAACTACTTCTACTACTGATATCTATAAAAACTACTATAATTTCGAATCCGTTTTCAGCGTATCAACTTTATTTCAAACGGAAACCAGAAAAACAGAATGAGACAAAGGATTGAAGTCTGGCAATCTTGGTAGTCACAGTTGAGGTCCCCATTATTAATAATGTTATTCTTGTTATTCGCGAGCGATACTATTGAAATGAGCAAGTGCTTCATCATTCTTGAACCATATGCTCTTTTAACATACCTCGCAGAGTTTCTTACAGAAACTGTCGAAAAATAGACTAACTGGAATTAATCGAAGGATTTATACCAAATTTATACCAAGTTACTAATTTCAGCCTTGTTGAATTTATTGGCAGCCACAAATTCACTTTTCAGTTTCATTATCGTTATGTTATATACGCATTTTTCCCGAAAATGTCTCACCGATAAGCAACTTTTTGGCTAGGATTTCTGCACGATTTGAAATATCATGAAAAAAGTTGCTGTTCCCATTTATATATCACTGATTTTAGATTGCTTACTTTCATTCGCATGATGAAATTACCTAATATAGTATACCCCACAAAAAGTACATTTTCATTCCGACTTTCAATATCCCGCATCTCTCTGAAATTTAAATATATATCAATAGGAACTTTCACAAGCAATAACCTCCTGGAGTTGAGCAATACCATGAATCTCAAAATAATTTTTCATGCAAAGGTACTATTTTGAAAGACACAAAAAGTCAAAAACTATTTCTTTAAGAATTTCGACTCGACTGCAGTACAATAACACAATACCTTTTTTCAGAACTATCAACAATATCTCCACAAACGAGCCGGTTTACAACCCTCACCCATTGATCAGCCAACCACACAAAGGGCGCCCCAATGCGATGGAGTTGACGCCCTGGGCTGTTTCCAAGTTCGATTATATTATGATTGGTTCCTTATACCTGGATCATGCAAATGCTGGCGACCGGATTATTTCAACAAATACGTGAAAAGGAAGTCCAATAATTCTGAACTCTGAGATTCATAATATACAGAGAATTTTAAATACTTTGATACTCTTTATTTATTTAAATATTCACCTGAAATGTCACTACCCGAAAATTAGACTATGAAACTATTGT